GGATGAATGGTTGTCACGGTGTTTCTAGGTTTAAGATGAGATGAACAGAAAAATGTGCCGGTGAATCTGAGAAGGTTTGTTTTTTTTCTTGTGTTAACAAGATGATGGGAGATGTTGGGTGTCAAGGAATGAGGAAGATGGATGGATGGATGGATAGATAGACAGATAGACTACTTCAATTTATTTTTTAAAGGAAATATTTCTTAGTCTAAATTTGATTAAGAACACATAAATACTGTAATTTTTCTAATATTTTTTATATAAATAATTTACACTTTTTATTCATATCTTTCCATCTGACTCCTGCTCCTGCACCACTGACTGCTGTAACTCACCCTCAGCTTTACAGGTCTTGGTGACAGGATCCATCTCGTAGCCTTCGTAGCATTCACACTTAAAGTCCCCTTTGTAGTTGATGCAGATCTGGCTGCAGGAGTCGGGGTAATGACACTCATCAATGTCTGCGGACAAAGCACAGAGATCACCGGTCAGGTGGCAGACCTGCGGTCATAGTCATTATCACATACTGTACCCATAACATGAAAAACCAACAAAAAAACAAGGCTGAAAATCTCAAGCGAATGAGTGGATTTATAGACATTTGTTTTAAAAATGATAAAAATTCAGGTGAAGCAGTCACGCTTCAGAGTGACAGAAATTATGAGCGAGGTTGACTGAGTGTTGCTTTTCCCCTGAGTGATGCCACAAATGGGCTTCTTAGACTGGATGTGGAAGTGGCTGTGTGTGAGAGAGAGCGTGAGGAAGGAGGTGTGATGGATGGAGGGTGTGTGAGTGCCTGAGTGAAGAAGAGAAGTGCAACTAAGCCGGGGTCCCTATAGGAAACAGTGACTGACACACACACACACACTCACACAATGGCTGCCTGAGTTTGAGAATTTAACAGTGACTACTGGTTTATGTATTTACCTCCACAGGTCTTTTTGTCCAGCAGCTGGTATCCTGCCGGACACTGACATTCAAAGCCGATTGGCCGATCCATGCAGATATGGGAGCAGCCGCCATTGTTGATCATACACTCGTTAAGACCTGGACACAAAAGGGAGAAAGCGGTCAAATATCCAAAACACTGTTTCCCAAAGACTGGATCGTGACCCTCTCGCGGTGGGC